AATATGTTTATAGGGAGCAAATCTAAAATCGCGAAGAATTAGACGATAGAATTACCGAAGCCATTGCAACAGTAACATCGGACATGATTAGAAATGCAATAATGAGTCTTTCTCGACGCGCAAGATTATGCATCCAATGCTAATGGTGGTCATTTCGAACATTCTTTTATTAAGTTTTTTTAATATTCAATATTTGTTAGTAACCATTAATAATGTTATGTTGTTATAATTAATATTTGTTAATGTAAAAATTAACTATTAATTTAATATTTAACATTTAAATATAAATTTATTGTTTATGTTTAAGTGTAAAACTAATAATTAATAAAAAAAATTATTAGTCTATTAATGTAATTATAGTCTTGTAATGTGTGTATTTAGTGTAATACATATTAAAGACGATACAAGTTAAATTAAACTTTAAAAGAATACAAAATTTAAAAATCTATTAATTCTTATATTTTCAATTAATAATAATTACCGTTAATTTGATATAAACGCATTTGGATTAAATAGGTTAATTTGACAAATTTCAGTTTTATTGTATTAACATATTCAGTTTTTTCATATTAAAAATGGTTTTTCTATCGGTATTATAAAAATGTTCACCATACTAGGTAAATGAACATATGGTTATAAATTCATTTTGACGTAATATCGATCATAATTGTATTTCTTTAATATTTTTCGATATTAATTAATTATTTAGTGTACAAATAGATTTCGTATAAAAGAAAAAGAAATTTCTTAGGAAAAATAATGATAATCTCGGTTGTTAAGAGAGCCCTCGTAGCACCTCTAGCATTTGTCATATCATCATGCCTGAGCGCGCGAAATTTCAGCTTTGTGATTAGCCTACTTTAATCGTTACTAATTTTTATTTAATTAAAACTATTATTGCCTCGACATTTTCGTATTAGGATTTTTGTCTTAGAATATTTTAAAGAATCCGCACTTAAAAGGAAATTCGCGAGTTTTGGGACACCCTGTATACATACATAGAAGTAATTTTATTTACACGTGTATTTCTTGCAAATGTATAATATATTTATTTTTATATGTACATAATAAGACATTTATTGTAATAATTGACAATAAATAAACATTAATTGACGAAAATTCTTTTAATAACATGAAATGATTCTTTTTTTAAACATTTAATTGCTTGTATTCATTTACAATTCTTGTGCTGACTGTTAATATTAAAAAATTTTTTTTACTGATTTAACAAAACACTGAAGTAAAATTGTTGCGAAATTAAAATCTTTTTCAAACCAAGCGAAGAATAAGACAAGATTCTACCATTCTACCATTTATTTGCAAAAGTTCTTTAAGCTTTGTCTCTTTTAATGTCTTTAACAAACTATAAGCTTATAATTTTGTTTGTCTTACTGTTTCCTAAACCACAAATAAATTGCAGCAGCACGTAGTCATATGTATCATTAAAATTTTTAATCGTATGTCATTACAAGGAACAAAGTAGACGTGAAACAATCCAACGATTTAATGTTCTTACTCTTTTCTTTCATTTGATCGATGACAGTATTTCTGAATATGACATGGTTCCAGTTGTCACTAGAGTATTACCCCTAGGGGTACTGACGGGAATATTATCTTGAATATATCGGATTCCATATTAATTTCTCTTAGTATTATTATAGTTCCTTTTTTGCACGTTAGCATAAATCTGACAGAATTTTTCTTTAATTTGACTTCTTTAAATAGTATTAATCTCTTGTTACGTCCAATCCCCGGGAAATGATTTATCGTTAGAGAAAGGAAAAATCAAAGAGAATCCCGTTTAGAAACAAGGCTGGATCCGAGAAGGAGGGGGATACGGAAGAACGTAAGCAGATAGCCTGTCTTGCAGATAGACGCGGTGGCATATGTGCGAGTCGAAGGCGCTTTAACCGGGCTTGACAGACGAGTCAACGTTCTAAAGGGACGATATTACTCGATCTCAAGCCAGCGCGATCATTGGTCCTGTTTTGGTCAAGGAACTTAATCCTTTTGACTCAGGATCGGACCTGTGCGATTTTCTGCAGGGAAGGAGGAAGTGAAAGAGGGTGAAGTCGTTTAATGAATTATAGAGAGGTTAAGAATTAATTGATACGATTAAATTTATTTTTAACTACGTTTACAATGCTCATAGTATGTGAACAAGAGAGACTTACTACATTTATCATTTCTATTATTACGAGTCGAAAGATCTAGCGCTGTGGATTATAGGATACTAATAATTAAC